GGAATTAATTAATAAAATTAAAGAACAAATAATTGAAGAAGAAGGAAACAGTCAGAATATTTTAATGGAAATCCGTCCGGGAGCCGGAGGAGATGAGGCCGGCTTATTTGTGAACGATTTATATTGTATGTATGCTAATTTTGCCAGGAAAAAAGGTTGAAAAGTCGAAATGGTGGAAAGTAGAGTAGGTTATGAAGGCAGTTTCTCGAATGTTGCTTTTCTGATAAAGGGAGAAGGAGTTTTTAACTATTTGAAAAATGAAGCCGGGGTGCATCGTGTCCAAAGAATTCCTCGCACGGGAAAAAATGATAAATTACATACCTCTACCGCCACGGTGGTCGTTTTGCCAGAACCCCAAGATATAATTCTTAATATTCGCCCCCAGGATTTAAAGGTTGAAACTTATAATTCAGGCGGTCCCGGCGGACAACATGCTAATAAAACTGCCTCGGCAGTGCGGATTACCCACCTACCGACTAAGATAGTGGCAACTTCCCAAGATGGTCGCGACCAGCGAGTTAACCGAGAAAGAGCATTATTCGTTCTCAAAACCCGGCTTTCGGAAAAATTGCAGACTGAAAAGGAAAAAGAAGTTGGGGACTTGCGTTCAACTATGATTGGCACCGCCGAGCGTTCGGAAAATTTCCGCACTTACAATTTTCCCGATAATCGAATAACTGATAAACGTTTGAAAATAAAATTGAATAATAAACTTGACTTTGTGATGGAAGGAGATTTAGAAGAAATATGTCAAAAATCGATTGATTATGAAGTGGAGAAAAAAATCTAATAAACCTTAAAATAATTTAATAATGAATAATAACCAAATAATTAAAGAAACCATTAATCAAAAATGAGAAAAAAAAGATAAGAATAATGAAGATTATCTAATTCTCAAACTAAATAATGAAGAAACTATTTTTGTTTTTCCTCGCAAAGTAGGCAAGGAAAGATGGAATTGACTGGAAGCAGGAAAAGAATATAACTTCACGGTGGAAGAAGGTAAAAATGGTAATAATCTTTTAGTAGATTTTGAAATTGAAATAAGTATTTAATTTTATCAAGCAAAAGAAGTTAATCGGGCAATAGTTTGTAAAATATTCATATATGACTAACCTTGAAAAAAATGAATTAGCAGAAATAGGAGTTCAATTTGGCGGTCCCGTTCGGTGGCGTAATCCGCAAATGCTTCCTTACATTTACAAAAAAAGTAATAAGTTCAACATACTAGACTTACAGAAAATTATTATTAGTTGCCAAGAAGTTGGCAATTATATTCAGACATTAAT